TTTACAATTGATACAACTTTTGAATTTATGTTCACATTAATGCAAAATAATTGTGATTCATTAGAGTTTTAGTTTCTGTGTTAGTTTGAAAGAACTCTGTCTGCGATAGGTTCTGCGCTAGGGAGATCGAGTACCTCAGTGGTGCCGTTGCCGGTCTCAAGCCCGGTGAAAGAAGGAGGGTCATAGCAATGGGCTTGTAACCCTTTGCCTGGAAAACATTTGAAACCGCCTTCAACACTATACAAAAGCCTCGACAGAAAAATGTGTACTGACGACGAGTCTAGCTCAGAAAATGGACAATCTCTGTTGGTACGTGGAATAAACAAGGTTTGAAACCAAAAAAGAGAGGTAATAGCTGAAATAGAAAAGACGAAGCTGGATATTGTGGTCTTGTCGGAAACCAAAATAAGAGGTTATGAAGAAGAGATGAGGGGTAAGAAATGAGAGGTTATGAAAATGAGAAGTGTTTTTGAAGTAGCGAAGGAAGTAGAGAAGAGAATAAAAGAAAACTAAACACTGAAAAATTCACAGATTATCTGTAAAGTACAATAGAAGAAAAGAATAGAGCAAACGTGAAATGCCTGAATGACAAAACACCAGAATATAGAAATGAATATGTCCAGAAACGACAACAAATAAAAGCAAGAGTGAGAAATGAATGAACACTGGGACAGAGTGTGTAGAGACATCGATTGCACAATAGAGTGTAATAAATCAACTGAGGTTTGGAAGATAATTAAGAAACTGACATAAAATAATGTAAAAACGATTGTCACACAAAGAATTTCTGCTTATAAATGAATGCATCATTACTCTATTCTTTTACCAGTTAGTAGATTTGAATATTAAATAGAAGAAGATGTAAACAATTCCCATGAATATGAGGCGAAAAAGTTGTGAAAATCGCATTGCGAAAGACAAACAAAGCCCCAGAACCAAGAAATATGCGAATGGAACTTCTCAAGCACGGTGGAGACATGGTCATAAAATATTTTCAAGAACTGTTCAACAATATAGAATTAGGAAATGACCCACCTACGGAGTAAAACATGTTTTATATATCTGTATATTTAAGGGCGATTAAATGACGTGAACGTATCACAGTGGCATCAGTGTTATACAGTCTGTTGCAATATTATTGTCTAATATTTTGAATTTAAAAATAGAAGAAGAAATATTTGGTTTGAGTGAGGAGCAAAGATGTTTTAGATTGGGATAATCCTGCCTGGATAATATTTATTGTTTAAGACAAACTATTGAGAAATGCAAAAGCAGGAATGTAGATCTTTGCCTGACATTAATAGGTCTTGAAAAAGCCTATGACAGTATTCAGCGAGAAAAGCTACGGCAGGCAATGAGAAGAGTAAATATAAAAGAAAAGTGGATAAACATTCTCAAGAAACTATAAAAGAACACTGAAGCGAAAATTAAAATTGGAAAAATGGTAACTCAAAGCATATTTGTAAACAAAGATCTTAAGTAAAGATGTGGTCTAACGCCAATTTTGTTCAAAATTGACCTTGAGCAAACTTTGGATACATGGTACAAAAAGTGTTGGGATGGGAATTGAAATTGAAGACGACAGCTTCCACTTCTCTCCTATACACCGATGGTCAAATATTAATTGCTTAAGATGAAGAGGACAATAAGTAGGGAACTTAAAGAAGAATTCTACAGGTGGGGTGTAGATATAAATTTTAATAAAACCGAATGCACGTGCATTAGACTAACTTTAATGGACAGTAGATAGCGATACAATTAAATCGTGTAACAACTTGAAATACCTCGGCTCAATAATAAGTAACACTGGCACACGCGATAAAGATACTAAATTAAAACTTACTTAACGGTGGGAATATATTTTCATGCAATACTGATATTTATAATTACAATAATTACATTGTGGAAATCACGTTAATGAAGTGTCAGTATCAACAGCTCACTACCAGAAATCCGCAGACAATACATGTTCGTTAATTTACAACGCCTTGCCAGATGACATTAAACAATTAAAGACGGAATACAATTTTAAGTTAAAGGTAAAATCTTTTCTGCTGTATAACTGTTAATATACATTCAGAGAGTATACTGATCATCACACCAAAAGAATAATATTTTTAAACCAAACTTTGATATATAATGAATTAGTTTACATTTGAATTGTATAATTAAAAACGACGTAATATGTCTGTAACAAATAAGGTACTTTAGCTTTCAGTTCAATGACCTCCATCTCGATCAGACTTTTGTCCAGTTTACCTGATCCATTGAGCAAATGCTGATATGGCTCTTTGTTTTGCTTGTGGGCATAAATGTAGCTTCACTATGCATCCTGTTTGTTGAACTCCCCTTTTACTTGTAGTGGTAGAGTACGAACTGAGGACGAGTTACTATTCTGTTAATATTGCAGAAAAATCAATCTGCAGATCGTTTACCGACGAAATAAATTTTCTGTAACTCCGGAACGAAAATGTCTAGTTTTTCAAATGTTAACCTCGAACTTTTTAAAATTTCTTCTTCTTCTTCCTCTTAATTATTATTATTATTATTATTATTATTATTATTATTATTATTATTATTACAAGTAATAATATTTAATTTATTTTTAACTTTTATTCATCTTCCAACTATTTATAGTTAAAATTTATAGTTTCAAAGCCCTCCTTCTAGCCGCTTAAACCGCAAGGCAGCAACTTAATGAATCCAAACTACATGAAAAAAATCACTGCTTCTACAGGGGCACTGTGGAGGGGACAAAGACTCTTCTGCCCAGCTAGGGCTAACTCGGAAGTTGTGTGGGTGATCAGGATCCGGAAACAACTGGAATTTGCCCAACTCCTCACTGCGCCCCCGTTGACGCTGACGACGAAGATGTCCCTGAAAACACGAGGCGGGTGATCATCTTTAATTGCAGTTACTTTAACTCTCGAAAGCCCAATGTACCATTTTTGGCACATTTGACATTTTCATCAGCTACCGCAAGTTGCGTTTTAACTTGTAGAGTTGGGCCTTTCATTATCATTATGAGTAAATAAAACCCATTATTGTTTACTTTCTCGCTACGGATTAGAGAGAAAGTTATGTAATGCAGCGAAAAAAACGGCGAATTTTCGGCAGAAAAACTCTTACTACAGGACCCTGATAAAGAAACAGAGGATAAATCCAGTTGCTAAATTTAGAAACAAATATTCTCTAACATGTGGTGTAGTCAGAATTCATGTTATGTGGGTCCTTGATACCGAAAAATCGAATGACATCAAAAAGTCTGTCCGTCCGTTGTCTGTCTGTCCATCTGTGAACAACGTTAACCGCTAAACTGTACAGCTACTTATTTCCAAAATTTATACTCCCCAATCAATCTGTCAGATGTCGCGGTCTCTTGAATTTGAAATCGATATTTTAATTTTGTGGGGTACTTTTCATGAAACCCTTGGGTCACTTTTAAAATAAAAAAAAAGTTACCATCGATTTTGATTGAATTTCGTTGTTGGATAGTATGAAGAACGTTTAAGGGAATGGCGCACATCTCATTTTTGTTGAAAACTCTTATTTTTCGAATAAATTGCACAAATTCAAAATGTTTTCGGCGTCGTTCTACAACTACAATTATGAAGAAAAATATGTTTTCCCTTATTGAAATCTGATCCTTAAAGATAGATAAATACAACTCATTATTATTTTCGAGTCTTTTTACCAAAAAAAGAGATAAATGTACGATGTTGTTTTTGCGACTGTATCTATTTCTCGTATTTTCATAATGTACAACATTTAAAATCTATTATACAAAAAAGGTGTTTACAATGGCGTGGATCTCAAAAAAATAGTAGTTCCACTGAAGTGATTGTTCCCAAATTCAGCGCCAATACTTTACGAGCAAAAGAAACATTGCTTAGTTATCATTCAAAAATTACCTTCCAAGTGTTTCTTTAGAAAAAATGCTTTGGAATATATGTAAACTATAAGTATGGTGGCTTACCTATTGTTAAAACTAAATTTTTACGCAAAATCCGGGCAACGAAACGCAGCCCAGCTTTATAATAGAATCATTGCGGGTTTCTTAAGTTCGTGTATTTTGGAGTTGTCTCTAACGCATTCAATAAATCATAAGATCCTTTCCCACCAAAAACGTACAATTTTTCAAAGCAATAAGACACAAACAGTGTTGTGTTATTTGGCCCGATCGAGCGCTGTAGGGTGCAAGGAGAGTCCGGGCGCAGCAGTGTCGGCTCCAGAGGCCATGGTCTCCTCTCATTGGGCCTAGAGTTTTCTTTATTTGGAAACATTGAATTAAATATTTATGTTAGAATTCTGTAATTATTTAAAAAATACCGGGAGAGGTGACTCAGGGTATCAACTCATGTGTCTACCATACCTCTTGTCGGGAGGTCCTGGGGTTCGAGTACCGGCGGTGGCAGGGTTTTCGACACTAGCTAAATAGCTAGGTGGAGTTCATTCGCTGTCTGGAGAATTGTAGCAGCCGGCTGCTTTGATCGGTTGTTTTTCGTGGTTTCTTCGATCAATATCGAGCGAATGCCGGAGTAGTATCCTAACAAACGGGCCATAGACAGCGCGCGATCCCCCCCCCCCCAATTCGTTGTTCTGTCCTCACCCCTTACACGCACTTACACTTACATGCACTATACTACCACACATGCCGTGTGTCCGGGCGGGAGCTTAGAACTTGTCCCGGCTGGTGCGGTTCCCCGCTGGTGAGAGATACCTGGTTGAGGGAAAACCGCGCTAGCCGACGGTATATTAGCCCCTGATCTCGTCATGCATTAGAGATCATCGCCATCTGCCGAGGAATAAGGCACTACACTTACGGGAGTAATGACCTTAGTAGTTGACGCGCCCGGAGTTACCAGTAATCAATCAACAATATAGAAGCAAATGTATTTATTATTTAGCAAAAATCTATTATGCCACCAGTGGCCGGCTGGATCCGCCTCTGGGCGCGCAGTGGTTCGAACGCACCAACCGTCAGTGTTACGGGAGCCCAGCCTCCGCGATTCAAACGCCGCGCCGGAGGTGCGCGCTCGGAGCCAGCAGGTGGCGCTGCGCCGCGGGGTGGCGGGGGGAGAGGAGGGGGAGGCCCCGAGCGCGGGCCGCGCCGCGCGCCGCCTCAGTCAACTGCCTCCCGCCGCCACGAGCGCCGCCGCGGACCAGCGCCAGCCGCACGACTCGCGCCCTGCCCGGCGGCAGCGAGGGGCCCAACGGTCCTCGCCCGGCCAGTGGCGTTTGAATGCGGCTGCTACCTGCGGGTGCATTGTGAGCCGCGGGGGGAGGGTGGCGAGGCCGCCGCGAGTAAATCCGTGTGCAGTGTGGTGCAGTGACGGTGGCCATGCGGTTCGCGTGCGAGGCAGCCCTGAGGAGCGGCGAGGCGGAGGCGGACGCGGAGGCGCGGGCGGAGCTGGACTTCCTGTTGGACGTGCCGTCGCACTACTTCAAGAGCTCGTTCGCGCGCGCCGTGCTCAGCGACAGCCAGGCCCCGCGCTCCCTGGACGCCGGGGCGGGCGCGCGGGGCCTGGCCGGGCGTCGAAGCCAGCAGCAGCAGCGCCAGCGGCAGGTGCCCGCGCCGCCGCCGCCGACGCCTCAGGACGAGGACGACGACGATGAGGACGCCGTGCAGCTGCAGGCGCCGCCGCGCGGAGCCCCCCGAGCACAGACCAGCGAGTTGGCGCGCATCTGGAAGCTCAGACAGGTGCGTCCCTGCATACATCACTACACGCAGAGGTTTTTTAAAGTGACCGGTGACATTACGTCATTGTGACAGCTCCTGCCTTATAGAATTAATCTTTCTATCAATGGCAAAGCACGTTTCTGAGGCCACGAGCCCCGTAGAGTAGGTTGGTCTCGAATTAATTAAAACATATTCATTTTATAAGGCAAGAGGGTGTAACAATGATCTATGTCAGTGTCCACTATAAAATAGAGGTACAGCCCCCTCATAGTGTGTTATAGTTGGTTTCCGTGGCAACGATTGCTGTCCGCACCAAAAGTTTGTTTATTTGAATTTTAGAAACTCCTCCTGCCTTATAAAATTAATCTTTGTAACAATACTAAAGCACGTTTCTGAGACCACGAGCCCCGTAGAATAGGACGTTCGCGAATTAATTAAAAAATATTCATTTTATAAGGCAGGAGGGTGTAACAATGATCTATGTCAGCACCCACTTCAAATAATCGAAGTACAACCCATCTCGGAGTGTCAGTTACAGTTGGTTTCCATGGCAACGATGGCCACCCGCAGCAAAACTTTTGTTTTAATTTTAGAAATTCCAAGCAAGCAGTGTTCCTCCATTATATTGATAGTCTTCATTATTCCTACCATTTTAGCTGTCATTTCGCATTCTCTTTAAAAGAAAATTCGGATAAATATATGTATGATCAGGAATTGCAGGCGTGTGTCTGACGTTGATCAATATAATGATCACTTTCATAATAAAAATAGTTCAATTAAAAAAATCCATGTTCCAAATTTACAACAAATCGTGATGTTTATCCATCCTACTTTCTTGTTAGAAGCATAATCTGAAGTTAAGGAATCGAGTCACCATTTATCTCGTCTTTCTACGTAAAGTAGTAAAGCAAAGAGACGGAAACCATCCATTTTTAAGCATTAAAACTCTTACTGTCGAGCACTCGTAACGGAAAAATGAATAAATATTGTTCCAATATGAAGTAAATTACTTCCACTCCCACTTTTTGTGTAAACAGAATCCGTGTTCTGTGGGTCCTCGATTACGAAAAATCGATTGAAAGCGAAACATGTCAGTCTGTCATCAACGCTAGTGCCTAAATCGTTTAGACAATGTTTTTTACAAAATTGATATTCCTCGATCGGTTTAATTGAACTCCAGGTCCTGTGAGTTTGAAACGGATATTCGGATATTTTAGGGTACGTCACATTAAGCCTCAACAATTTGGAAATTTTCTTAAAAATTAATCCTAATTGTTGGACAAGTTTGCCTATTGGTAGCGTAAGCAACTGAAAAAAAATGGTGCGGGTATAATTTTTGTTGAAATGATTACAAATCTTAATTTTTTTCGACGTCTTCTGACAGCTCCAATATTGAAGATAGAATTTGTTTCTGAATCAGAATTGTTGAATTAAACTAAAGGCCCACGAACCTCTCACTATTTTTCCGTTTTCCTACTTGTCATATGCTCACCCTTTCTTACACATACGTATATACACGCGCATGTACTACACTACCACTCATGCTGGGAGACCTGTCGGGCGCTTAGGACTTGTCTCGACTGGAGCGTTCGGTGCCTCGCTGATGGGAGATGCCTTGCTGGGGAAACACAGCAAGCCAACGTGTAGGTCGGTGGCGGATCTCGTCATCCAATGGGGAAAGACTACGCAATCTTCCCGCAATAAATCATCCAGTACGCTTACGTAACTAATGACCTTAGTAGTTGACACACCCGGAATCTCTGATCAATCAATCGTCTTATGAATGAAATCTGTATACAATATTTGAAAGAAAAAAGTATATATTTTGCGTAATATGTTTAAAATTATTACTATTTATAAAAAATACATTTTCTCAAAAATAACCTCAAATGTTTTCTTTAATTTTTCTATGGATACAGAAAAGGACGATTAAAAGACGCCTCTGGAGCAATTTTCTTTGAACTTCCTGAATTTTTGAAAATTGTCTTAATTAGAAATAATGGTAGAGACCATTCGTTTTTTTAAGCGTCAGCGAAAGCGAGTACTGTCGAGTCACTGGGTGCTGTAGAGGTAAAGAGCAAAGTGAGTTAAGTACACGGATCTGAGTTAAAATTTCGACGAGGAGATTCTTTGCTGGTTGGAAACACTTTTGCAGGTTCACGTTTTGCATTGCGATTGCCGATACAAATAATGGGAGAAAGTGTGAGACCATTTGATTAATTCGTGGTAGGAAGAGAATGATTACGTCACGTCTCGTGTTACCCCCGCTCCAGAATCACCTAGTAAATTTCAACGTTTTAGCGACCGAATGGTTTGGAGTACGATTTAGGTTGACTTAAGAGAGGAATGCCATTAAGAATTTTAAATCTGCGATGTAAATTTACAAGAAATTTCAGTTTTGTACATAAAACTAGAAATGCTACACCATTGCGCTTTTTCAGAGTATTTCCAACGCTTACATAATGTCATAAAATTATGTCTTTACCTACTTCTACGAGTATCTTCTCTTCATATTTGTAGTCCGTAACAAAAAACTTTTCACCAAGTTGCTTCAATTGCGGCATTGTGTCCGTTTCCTACCATTTTCCAAGACTCGCATCATAAAGACATTAATGCTTATTGTTAAAATTTATAATCCTTAATGTTTATAGTCTTGAATTTATACTTGTCTAATGAGTTCATCATAATTTCTTGCTTTAAGAACAATATTCCATGACCTTCTCAGCTGAAATATTTTTGCTGTCAAACCTACAAAGCTAACAAAAAGTTTCATTAAAATTTGCAAACTATACAGAAAATTTTCAACAATATAGTATTTAGAAAACATTTCAATAAATATCATGGTTTGCATTTCGCTTCTGTAATATTGATGTATTGCAGTATAATATTATACTGCAATGTTGATAATATTGATATATTATATATCAAAAATACCTATATTTTTCATTTTCTTTTTTAAACTCGTAATTATTTAATCGAAATTAGACTATCAGTATATCATAGAAAAGACTAAACATAAATTTCGCTCGAAAATTACAAAAATAATTTGAAACCGTTGTACAGTTTTTGAGAAAATGGTGCTCGGAGTATTGAAAACGTACCAATTGTGGATCATTTGCACTTGAAAACTCTTTAGATTTTCAGAAGTTTTATGAGCAATTATTTAAATATTTATAAAATCATTAAATCAAGAAATAAACGTGTCAAACAAAAGGCTAAGAAATATGTATGTGTGTATTTTTCAACATTCAAACATTTCAATGAAAATTAACTTGTGCAAATAATATAATAGAGCATGGAAATGGAAACCAAAACTTCAGTGAAAAAAATTGAAATTTTGTGAAAGAAAATCTTGTTTAGATGATACTGAACATTTTGAATAATTTGTTTAAACATTACGTAAAAACTGTATCTGAAAGCGTAAAAATGCCATACATGAAATCATTTTTCTCATAATATTGAAGTAATATTTCTTGTTGTGTGTTATAACTTTTCTTACACATTACTTATTCCAATTGCGATGTGTGAGAAAAGATACAGTTTTCGGAAATTCGGACATTTTAATGAAAATATGAATTTTACTATATTTTTACACGCATTTTTCTTTTCATAGAATGTATTTGAAAGGATTTATTGGGAAACTTAGAGCCGACTTTCTTAAAATGTTGAAATTGTCTTGTGAACTTATGAAAATATCCTATTTAGAAAACCCCAGAAATAAAAGATATAGGTGTCGTAGAAGTTCACAGGACCTAAAGTTCTGCCAGATTCATTTGAGATTATCCAATTTGGAGAAAAAAGTAATTACTTACACGGATTAGACATTACGTGTTCACATGCGGGCGAACAGACGTTTGAAAGAAGATCAACACATTTAGTGTCAGATCCTTAAAAAGGTGTGTTTCATTTGCAATATCTCGACCGACATTTTACAAAATGATAGAACTTTCTCAACTGTATGTATTTGGGAAGGCAAATCCATAATGTTTGCAAAGCAGAATACAAGAGGAGTAACGTAATAATTGGTAATGGGATATCAGATTACCAAGTGAACAAAATGTCTTTCTCAACAGATCGGGCTGTGAACCTTAGTTCCTAGTTGACAGTAACTGTGCGACTAATAAGTATGGTATTTGTTACTTAAAAGTGCTTTATTGGAAACTCGTGTATGGTCTGTCTGTTCAGTCACGTGAGCTTTTTTTGACTCATTGATGCCAAACCGAATTGGGAGGCGTCATCGGTGAGAAACACGTAGAAATGATTGGAATTCATTTCACAAATGTTGGCTTACTCGTCCTGAAGATGCTGTACTCACTATTATTTTTGTTTTTCTGCCTAGTGCCGAATGTTGGAATGATAATGATATTAGTGTAATTATTTAGTCACGATATAAGTAAAACAATTCAAAACTTCATTTTTCAGAAACATTATTTACAAAAAAGAAATGCATAATTCTTTGATTAAAAATTTGTCTATGCGGGTTTAATTTTGCACACACACATATATATAAGCGATTTTAATTGAAGTGAGATAGAAGTGGACAGCAGGGGCTCTTAGAAATTCAATATTTTTATGTTAAGTCCGTTTACATTCTTACATTTAATGACTTCTTCCACATTCGTATATAAGTTTTTACCTTGTTTTTGACATGTTTCGTATCAATGATTACCCTATTCTTTTGGGTGACAATATTGAGAAATTGTAAATCAGTTTTGAAAAATAACCCTAACATTTAACTTTACGCACTGATCGACACATTGAAAAACTATTAACTGGCTCTCCGAACCAAACATCTGATTGATTTACAACTAGTGATTCCGGGCGCCTCAACGACAAAGATAATTATTCCCGTAAGTGTAGTGCATGTTTCCCCCCTCGGGAGGTAGCGATGATCTTGTCCCGCTGGATGGCGAGATTCGATGCCGATCTACCCTCGGCTAGTGGAGTATTCTCCAACCAGGTATCTCCGATCAGAGGGACACCTTCCCGACATGTGTGGTCGTGTAGTGTTGTGCAGTGCA